ACTGTTTCTTCATCCGAGTTTTATTTTTTATCTCTTGAGCACAAATTCCGGGCCATTTCCGGTCTTCAGCGGGAAGTCTTGAAGCGCGGCGCTTTGTGGTGGCGCGGGTCACCTTCCTGAGAATGCCCAGGTCATGCCGCCTGCAATCGCACCGGATCTTCGCGGGCGGCGGCGCTCCGTCGGCGAGGCGCGGCGTGGCGAGGTGAGGGAGAGGGGGAGGTCGCGGGCACCGGAAGCGACAGCCAGCAAGGTCGGCCACGCGCACAATGCGACGCTGACGTCACCCGCACCCAGCGCGCGGGCCGCTCGGCCGCAGCATGGCGCCACGCCGGCCCCGGCGACGCGACGCGGTAGGTGCCACGCTCGCTCCGTGGCACCGCGGCGGACGGGGAGCAGAGACAGGGCTCCTTTAACATCCGCACACCAATGCCATGCCGGTGAACACGAATGTTCTCCGCAATGTGTTAGCGACGGACGTCGGAATAAATTGCAATACAATTGGAGGAACGTTTGTAATGGATTTTAGAAGTAATGCAAAATGTGCGATTCAACAATAAGTAGTATTATACTCATTTTCTGGAAGTTTATGTGAGGATATTTTCACTTTCTAAGCTATGGAGAAAAATATTTTGAACGTGTTCGTTGCGTACGTGTTCTTTCCACGAGGACACATATGGGCACACGTACATTTTAAATAAGTAGTTAAATATTCATAACTCTGTTCAGAATGCACATCTATTCTCCACATCGAGAGATAGCAAAATAAGATTGCGACGTGTTTGCGGGCAGGCCGTTAAGTGTATGCCGGAGTTTCCAAAACGTGATTACGCGTGGCGGCAGTTTCGAATTGTGTTGTAAACTTCCGATAAGCGTTGGAAGTCGAAATTGCCCCTTAGAGGTTGCAAGTATTTTAATAATGAAAGTCCCAAACAATGAAGCAGTAACTCCTTAGGAAAAAGACTTCGATGCGGTCCGTCGTTGAACCTCTCCCCTTTTGGCGTGAATTTGTTAAGAACCTACGCTGTTGAGAAAGGAAGACCTTTTCGTTCGGTTAATCAAAGCTAATTAGTGAATTAATGAAAATTGCATTAATTTTTAATGAGATATTTATTTTATATTCATTTTAGTGACATGTAAACTATGAAATTATTATGGTTTAAATTTGTAACCTTTGGAATAGAAAACATTCTGAAATATTTTAAAATCATATTTTTTATACTACTTATAAAATCATGACAAACCAACATTTCACCTGCATGAACATTTTGAATGAACAAAATATTCTCTGCCTTAATATATTTTAACATATTCTCGCAGAGAAATTTTAGAAACGTTCCATCTCAGGAATAATCATGAGACGAGGCGAGTGTGGAGTATCAAAGAATTGTGTTGTACGCACGCGTGCGCACTCTTTTGTACACGAGAGGCAATTTCGTTTGGTATTTTTGTCCTAATGAATACGAAATTTAAAATATTATGGATAAAGCCAATTTACTCGAATGCCATATGAACTCTAAAAGCGCGTCTGCTGATCGAGCAATTTTCAACGATGGACTCAGCGCAACCACTGCCTGCTCCATCCTTCATCTCAGTCGACCGCTCCGCCTCGCCGACCAGGAAGTGCACCGTGCGTGCGTGCGTGCGCCCGCGCGTGCCATCAGCTCGTTCGCGTGCCGCTACTCCCTCGCCCGTCCGTGCACGTGCCTCCGCGTGGTGCCCGCCCGCACCTCGCCGGGAGAGAGAGGAACGCCGCTTTTTTATCGCTCCATCCCTCGAAACTCGTAGAAGAAGGGAGGGGGCGTATCAGTCTATTCTTGGAATTAAGCCAAAAGGGTAGCGGCAGCCGGCGTTTGTCATAAATACAGACCGTCAAAATGGAGAGGGTAGCGATACGAAACTGAATTTGTGGCGAGGATTGATAGTTGGTCTCTGGCACGGGATGAACGTTTATATCTTAAGAATCGGTGAACTTCAAGAGGCTCTTTTGGATGACTGCGATCGTTTGTTACCCTCAGGTCAAAAACCTATCACCAAAAACGCGAGGAAGAGGAAAATAACAGTTATGCGCTATCTCTCACAGTTTTGACGTATAATTTGTCCATTATTGTAACATTTTATTTATTTATTTATATGATTAGGCGGTCATGTAGGTTTAATAGAAAATGGGAATTTTATGATTTTGTGCATGATCGTTTCATTTTAATTCGAGTGTGTGTTTAAATGCGAAATGCCAATTAGTGTGTTATAACTTTACACAAATTGGTCTTAAATTCGAAGAAATTATTATTAAGTATTTAATTTTTGAGAAGGTACAAATATATTTTCCTTCAAATAAATGTAAAGCCATTGATGAACTTTACATTTTATTAGCTGTATACTAATAATTGTGAAAGTATGTAATAAAACGTCCGCCATTCAAAACGGAGTCCGCGCCATGCATCGGCGAATTCGAAGTCAGCTGTTGGACGAAATACTGATAAAGAGCGTCCTCATGATCCAGCATCCTAATCCTCAGAATGAGGCGGAGAACGTACCAGGAGGAGGGCGCAGGCATTCCAGGTCCCTGATCTGCGGCCATCCCTCCCTCGCCCGCCCGCTCATGGGGCTCCTCGGGGCACTCCCTCCGTGCGCGGGTTCCTGCGTTGTTTACTTTGCTTCCGTGCTCGGGGCACGTGCCCGCGGGGACGCAGGAAGCACGAGATGCGCTTGTCGTAAACTCCCCTTTTTGTCGGGAGTCGCTGCGCGAATGCGTGTTGGGCACCGACACGAGGTTTCCGAGGTTTGTTCGTTTCGTGTTCCTGGTTATTGTGATATAATGTGCGTTAGGCGGTGTCTCGTGTCGATGTTTCTTATCATTTTTCCATTGTTCGTTGATATATTTGTACGAGACACAAGGAAATAATTTGTTTGATACCTACTTCCGGCGACTTGTGTTCTGAGCGTGAAAGCTATTGCGTGAAATGTTCAGATGTTACACTCGAACATACAGTTAATGAGCGGCAAATCAGATAAACTGCTTTATTTATTATTTTAATGTTTGTGCCGGTATGTAAGATTGAACATAACTTTGTGTTATGGGAGAAGCGCCGTGGAAGATTCGTCGTGTTTACTCTTAGATTCTTCGTGGGAGAGTGATAGAAATAAAAGCTTTTAATTAACTTTTGATTTAAGAACATACTACATTTATTTAGTTGTTAATAGAATATCCTACCTTGCCTTCCTCTAATACACATTTTATCGACTTTTCTTCTGGGGAATATATTGCAGTAGGTCAGCAGAGTTTACAATGCCATTTCTATTGAACAGAAAAACAGAGTATATCTGATCTTCTCAGTAGTGAAAGCAGCGCCCTATTTTTGCCTTCGAAGTTTATAGGAAAATCTTTTTATCTGCTTTAAACACCGTAGCGTTTATTTGTTTCAGGTCGTTGCGAACACAATAGCAAAGTCGTATTGTGAACGCGACCTAATGAATTTTCACGTTAAACACGAAAAAAGAGCTCTAATTTGATTTTCTAAAGGCTATTGTCTTTTGCTTTAAAAGTATGAAGTGGCCCTTAATTATTCTGACAAAAAAAAATACAAATTCTTTCGAGAGGTTGTATGTGATTTCTTTTTTTTTTTTTTTTTTTTTTTTTTTTTTTTTTTTTTTTTTTTTTTTTTTTTTTTTTTTTTTTTCATGAAAAGGTTCTTTTCGAAAAAATGCTCTCGACGTCTCAGGGCGCGCAATTTAAATACTCCGCGTGGCTCTCACACTAGCTGCGGTGCGGTGAGTGGTTGAGGAGGGTTGTAGCTGGCAGACGTAGAAGATCCGCAGCAGCAGTGGCCGTGGCGTGTTTTTCCTGCTTGGAATCGGGTGCGTTCGCCCCTCCCTGTGAGTCGGGATGCTGCAACAAGACTTACAGCTGCCTCTCTCTTCTATTGATCAATGCAGAACGTCTACGCATTGAACGTCTTGAAGCAGGAAGGAAGGGACTTTTTTTTTAACTATAGTCCAAACTTCATCACATGACGAAAAGAATCCTAATGATTTGCCTGCCCACTTTTTGTTGGTTTAATTAAGAGACACCCAGAAAAATACCATTGGACCGGTCGTACTGAAAGTCCGGACAATACAGTGTATTGGAAATGGTAGGACTTCCCCTGTCCCTGACTATCCGGGAATAGCGTGACCACAGGTGTGCATTCTTGTTGACTGCATCACTTGCGACATTCATGTGCCAAGTACATACTTCGAAGGAAATATACTTCGAAAGTTTGGAATGAATAATGAAAATTTTATGAGAATCTATTTTGTTCTGAAAACATGGTGACTGTGATGGACTCTCGTCCTCTATTCTTTCATTCGTGCTTTTAGCATCAGAATACATGTATGAGTTTGGTCTACTACAGAAATTAGAAGCCATTTTAAACATTCCATTGTAAGGACGTACATTACAAAAATAAATTTCATAGATTTTTGTAACGATGTTTTTCTGAATATTTAATATAACTTTTCGTTTATGAAGATAGCAGAGATGCCTGACACACTAACGCTTCTACTTTAACAGTACTTACATAAAGAGATTTCCTGCTTGAGAGACCACACGATGACTTGCTTCACCGTGACAGCTGTCAGGGCAGCGCGTTTCGGAAGCCAGGGGCTTTTCAATGGATTTAATCTTTATCTCGATGGAAGCTGTTGTGGGACGTTATCGGGGATGAAAGCGGGTCACGGCATCCGAAATTCGCTTGGTCACCGCCGCTTGATGGCTAAAATCTTCCAAAGCGCAGCGATGTCTCGCGGAATAAAGAAAAGTGCAGGTAATATCCGCCAGCCGGCGCGGCGGGAGAGCGGCGCCCGGTCGTCTCGCTGTCGGCGCCGCGGTGAGGCTCGAACTAGGATCGCGGCCGTAATGTAGGACGTCCGCTCGAGATCCTGACGGGCGCCTCCGAAGATCGTGACAGCAGAAACGGATAAGAAATGAATAATTGGAACACATAAGAGGAATGCGATGTAGAATGGTGAAAAACAAGGTGTGCGTGTTAAGGTAGTTTAGTACCAAAATCGCAATTTTGACACACCTCGCTCGCGCATTTCCAAGTCGACGGTGGGATTCTAGCCTGGCTTTCAAGTCTACCCAATACAAAATTTCCTACGCATTTTACACTGCAATTCAGAAACGGTTTCTCGAGTCAATTCCGTCGCGTAACTTTGCTTTGCAATTGCTAAATCATTTTTTCCGGAGTTTGCTTTCATTGCATATTATTGCTATGTTGTCATTTTCAATGTATGTTAAATTACCCGTAAATTTAAGGAAATTGCGATGCAACGCGAGTAATCAGAGTTATTTGTAAATATAATAATAATAATAATAATAATAATAATAATAATAATAATAATAATAATAATAATAATAAAAATTGTATACACGTAAGGTATACATTTACATACGTGCATAAATGGCGAGTTTCAGTGTTTATATACTGTTTTACACAATCTACAGTAAAAATATAAATAATACAAAATGAAAAAGGAAAGTATTATTAAACAATTCGTACAATTGGAAGTAAGAAGTGAGTATTAATTCAGCCCACAGTAATAGCGTTAACGTAATGAGAGCAAAAACAAGCAAAATAAGAAAGGATCTAAAAATAATAATTTTCATAAAATTCTGCAACCTGGCACGGAATAATTGCAAATGCAGTGATTTCAAATCCCTTTGCAGTTTATTTTTTAATATTGTAGCAAATTAACTAAAGAAAGATTAATATTCATCACTACGTTTGATCAAAGTCTTTGCACCTCTCGTGATGCAATCACCAGTCCAGGAGTTCGAGGAGTTGAGTAGTTACTTAAATACAGTGTGTGACTAATGTATCTCCGCTATTTACTTTGAATTTTCCATCGGATTTTAAAGTTGCAGTGCAGCGTGGCTTAGAGCCTGCACCGTTACTCGTGACGGCTAGTCAATACGCCTCGGAGAGCTCGTGACTGGGGAGACGGGCAGGCGACGCCGAGCGGGGTCGCACCCCGTGGTTTACGATCGCGGCGGCTACCGGAAGAGAAAGGGGCCGATGGTCGCTGATATACGACCTAACGGGCCCTGCTGTGTACCCTGCTCAGTCGCCGCTAGTAATCGCTCTCGTCCCAGCGGCGTCGTCGTCGTTTCTTTTGACGTCAACGGGGATCAATATGGATGCAGAGAATGACGGGTATATAATTGAGGATGATGAGAATGACGATTATAACCTTCTACAAGGAACAATTATTTCCTTAAAAATTAGTGTGAGGAAAATTCGCACCCAATTTTGAAATAACATTTGATAGTTTTCTTTTCAGCACGTAGTACTGGGCGCATATGAGATTTCGAGATCGTTAACAACATTTTATTATGTATTTCAACAAGTATTGAAGTGAATTGAATTACGCCTTGTTGATCTTTAAAATGCCTTCGCAATAAATTCTATAATGGATCGACGCTCATATGTTGGATTTGATATTCAATTGTATGGTACTTGTCCTTTTCAGGGATATTTGCTGTCTGTGTCAGCCATTGACGTCGTTATTTTTGTTCGCACAGAGAATGTATTCTTGATTACAAATCATTATCACTTTATCAGTTTATTTTTCTTATCAATGGATTCCCGTCACTGTATTTATTTCTCTCTCTGTCTCTCTCATTCTATATATATATATATATATATATATATATATATATATATAGAGAGAGAGAGAGAGAGAGAGAGAGAGAGAGAGAGACACCCACACCCACACGGGTCATCGTAACAATGCCTTTGAAAACGACTTGTGGATAATCGTGAATCATGTCCCCCTGCATCGTGCAAGTATACAACCGAATGCTTCAGCAGTTGATTTCTCAGTTATTCGTCGCATTTCATTGTGGTGTGAAATAACCCGTCCTCAAAATAAGAATTAGACGTGAAATCGGCTTCTTTAAGTTCTTCACAGAAGTTTATCTTTGTCGTTTTGCTTTCAGTTCTCAAATGATCTTTCTCACGGTCGACACTTAGATCTTCTATATAACAGTTCTTTCGAAGAAGGAAAAGGATAAAAGTACTTGCCATGGAACTGAAGTGTAGCGAATTATTTTATTTCCGCTCCTTTAATGGGTGGTTGGGATGATGAAGTGTTTCCAAGATAATTCATCACTCAATTGTCTAGCAATTTTTTTGAGCAATTCACAATCTGTTTCCTTAGTTATTCTGTGGAGTTGTTTTTGATGCGTAGCATAATTATATTGCTTGTAACTCTCTGCATGGACGATTAGTCACTGAAGGAGAGGGAAGTTCTTATTTGCCATCACGTATTTGTCGTAATTTAACCATGTTTTCTCTTTGTTGTAGGTGGGTGCAGAGCTTCGAATCCCAGTCTGTTCATTCAGGTCTTCGCCGGCGAGCTAAGCAGTTAGCGATTGGCAGCTCGTGCTTCCACACGCAAGTTTTTGTTACTTTGTTCTCAAGATTGATGGACGGGAGGCATTGCTTGAAATGAATTCGCATGAATCATTCTCGTGCATTGTAGCAATTTAGTCAAACACCGCGTGTATTTATTGCTCTTCTTGGAACGATACAGGAATACGTAGTAGGATATTGTTACAGAATTCAAATAATTTACGTGTTAGTAAACAATGAGACTAATGTTTGTAAAGATTTTAGTTAAGTGATTTTAGTTAAGTAGTTCATATTTTAATATTACGGAAACTTCGTTTTTCTCATGCAACACTTGTTTTTCCTTTTCGAAACGAACTTCTATATTGCCTTTTCTTATTGTGTCTCCGGACTTAACAGTTACTGCGCTGTGTATTGTAAACTTCGGGTGTACGTAGATTTAAATTATATACATGTATGAGAAATAATCGTGTAAAAGAGAATAATTTATTTTGGAAATAGTTTTATCTTCTCGCTAAATGAATGTTTACAAAAGAGGGATTATTAGAAATATAATTTTGTCGGGCCGTTGGCGAATGTAATTCCTTATAATACTCGTTGTATTCAAGAAATCTGCGTCCGTCGAGTACTCACGGTTAGATCCCTTCCTCTTTCATTTTCAAACAAATCATTACATAAATAACACTCAAGTTTTGTGGAGTTTGAAATTATTTTTAACTTACAAATTTAAGTATTGTACTTGCATGATACAATGTTTGAATAGAAAATACTAGTGAATATTTATGGTAAAGAGAAAGGGAGTCATTTGGTCGTTATATCATTGAAATTATACTAATATTTTATAGTAAACACTACATGACTCTTCTCATATTCTGAATTCAAATAGTTTTCGAATTCTTTGCTCCTAGCAACTTGGTTTTGTTTTAACCAGGCGACTTCCTTCTGAGGCGTCCGCGAGCTTTCCCGAAAGCGCGCACAGGGCACTTGGAATAAGCGCGTTCTCGCGGGCGGGCGGGCGAGCGAGCGAGCGAGGGCGCCCAACGACGCGCGGAGAAGGAGGCGTGCCGGGGCGGAGGGCAAGCGGCAGCGAAAGCGACGCGAGGCTTTTCGGCCCTTCTCCCGCTTTTCGTGCGAAACGGCCACGCCCCCTCAGTTCGACGTTTTAAGTGCCGGGTTGTTTCCTCTTTCCGACCGCCGCCGGATCGTCTCTCTCGTTTGCTATTTGCGCTCTACAACTTTGCCTCTCACAATCTTCAATTCTTCCAGCTATTCCGCATAAAGTTGACGGCAAGCAATTGATAAGTGCCAAAACATTTGTGAAGAAATAATTCCCTTTACAAATCAGGTACTGCGAAGATGCTTTTTACTTTCCGGTATACCTGCGTATATACGGAGGAAAAAAAATGCAATGCCGGGCCTTGATACAGCCTCAAGTAAGTGGATAAATCAAGTTGCTAAATTAAGGGGGGAAAATCCTTTAACACGTGGTGAAGCCAGGATCCCTGTTTTGTTGGTACTTCATACCAAAAAATCCTTCTGTGAAGGCAATTAAAGGCAAAACGTCCGTCTATCCGTCTGTGAACACTACTAGCAACTAAACCATGCGTAGGATTTTTTTTTCAAATTGTTTAAAAAAGTGAAAATGCTTCAAATCACTAGTAATGAAGTGTTTTAAAAACTCACATTTTCAGTGATGAAAGGCTTCAAATTTCGATTTGACGGCTCCAAATTTTTCAAAGAAAAATTGCCATTTATGTCGAAGTTTTACTGTGCAGGTTCGAGTCCTGCGTAGACATGGTCGTATTTGTGATTGTCCCTTTACCCCTCATCATCAACCTATCATCTCATAATTCACACTTCAAGGCGTAATAACCTTGTTGTAATCCAAGGATACAGCTGAAAAGCTGATCCTGGATGAATTACACACGTTGGTCGTGTAGCGTGGTCAGTAATGGCCTTTACGCCAATAATAATAATAATAATATATATATATATATATATATATATATATATATATATATATATATATATATATATATATATGGTGCGACGATGGTGCAATTCTGTAGCACCACTAGTTTAACATGCAGCCACAGCAACTCGCGAGTGCTGCTGTACCACTAATCTGCTGGCTCATGTGAATGTTTATGCGTGTTAAATAATTTGCCAGAGGACAATGCAACTGTAGGCTTGTTCACATCGGTACTCATACACATTTACAATCCGAAACAAAATTAAACCTTCGGTGTGTTAATATTTGTTTTCGTGACTTTTTACTCATTCTTCTATAAGTTGTATTCTTTACATAATACAGTCGAAAATGGATAAGTGAGTCCTGGATAAGTAAGAAACCTCAATAAGAGAGAATAAAATTTCTGCCCCATGAAGTCCCACTTAGCCGGATTCGACTATCTTTGTATCCCGAGTGTCGAAGCCCGGAGAGAGTAATCGCCAGATTGTTTCGATCAGCTGATACCTCCGACCGAATGATGATCGCGCGGTGCCCGATGTCTTGAGGCTGGGCGTATTCTTTTGTCGGCGCTGGCGCTGGCGCTGGCGTTGGCGCGTACGCGACCCAACGAACCATGAAGACCCCGCGCCCCACGCTGCCCCGAAGCTCTGACGCCTTTCTCTCAAAAGCGGAAACGACCCTCGTCGGAAGCAGGCCCTCTCCCCGTCCTTCTAACTACGAACTCGTATATTGCGCCGCTCTAGGACTAGAGTTTCTCCCCGAGGCATCTACGCTCCAACCGTAAAACCTGGGACGTTTTCTAAACCTGACCGTGCTATTTTAGAGTGGATTTTAGAGAGAATTCATTTGGCTTTTATGAAGCTGCAAGTAACGGAATGGTATATTGCTGCCCTCAGACGTACTTACTGAAGTAATGGACTTTAAGAATCATGTCGTCAAAGAGAAAACCGATGCATAGCATAGAAGAACCAACTTCCGAAGCGGTTACTACTTTCTATTTCGACGTCGCTACGGTGAAGAGTACTAGGGCAAATTATTTGCTTGTGCTTTCTTCTAGAATTTGTTGGATGAATCAGTGTCACGCGCTTAATGAATAGTGAAAATAACTGCCATTTACTGTTATTATTCTTCATAATGTTTTAATGTGAATCTGGATTTAATTTAATTTTGCCTCTGAGAAATTTCAACTTTGCACGATGTATTTTTTTCTTCACATTCTCTACTTATTACGAATAAAAATTCTCTTTCCCTTAAGAAAATTGCAGAAAATGCACATTTCTATAACTAAGGTTTGACGACAACACGTGTTTACTTCCTTGTTTAAAGCAGTTCAGGTTCATGTGCGAGGAAATTCCTGGAAGGCGGGAAACCGCGCGACCGCTCGCCTTCCGCGCACGGATCCTCGTAGAAACGACGTCTGGGACTGCAGTTTTTTGCGCGAGAAAACGGGAGAAATCCACGCACGTTTCTTGACCCGTGCACGGCACCGGAGCTACTGTTATTTACAGGGAGCGTTGGAGAAGTGCAAAGAGGGTTTGCAAGCATCAATTACTTTCCGCAACATACAATTTGCGCTTGCCGCGCGCAGGGAGCGGTCGGGTGGAACCCAGACGCTCGCCACGCGGCTGTCGACGCCCGACTCCGCCCCGCATGCTGCCGCTCGCTCCCAGCCTCCGCCCCTATTGCCATTGCTACAACCTCGCTGCCACCACCTCCCCCCCAACCATAATCGCTTCAGTTTACGCCACTGCCACCCCCTGAGCGAATGCCACCACGTCAGCCACCACCTCCGTTTCAGCCACCACTTCTGCTTTAGCCCTAGCCTCCGGCCTCATTCTCATTCTCATTCTCAGCCTCAGCCACTGCCTCCGCCTCACCTTCAGCCTGTGGCATCACTTCCACCCAATTTCAGCCACCGTTATCGCCACCCATCCTCTCCACTTTCGTACACCCACCATTGCCTCCTCTAGCGTTGCTTCCGTCATTGCCACCGCCTTCTCCAGCCACCCTCTTCTCTTTTTTTCGTGTTTCCTGTCTACTACACACTTGTGAGTTTTAGCTACTGCCTTTGGTCCCAGCATGAATTGTCACTGTGCAACCATCTGTCAACACTCGTCAATGCCGAATGTGCTGGTCTTCTTTTAATGCAGAAGTTTGTTTTTTGACCTTGGTTTGTTTTAGAAAAATGATGTGTCCCATTTTTAGGAATCAGGAAATGAAATCTATTTTCGAAAACACAGCTTTTATTTATGATGATCATTTCACACCAACCTATATTAAACTCAAACCTTTTAAGCCTGAGCTTTGTGATTTGAGGAGTTCGTTCGGTCGTTGCCATCAACATCTTTCCGTCGCTCATTTAACTTTATAATTTAAGAAAAGTAGAATCAGATATCGATTCATATTCATTCCAATCAGATTTCAATTCAATATATACTAAACTATGTTTTGCGGGATGCTTGTTTGAACGTGAAAATATGAAGGGATTGGGACAGTAACAATATAAGCTACAACTCTCCCGCTATTCGTAAATGCTATTTTTTCAATTATCTTTTCAGGCAGGCCTACCTTTTTACTACATATATCTTGTTATATTGGCGGAGCCTATGGAACAATACGATGAGACACAAATATATATATATATATATATATATATATATATATATATATATATATATAATATAGCGTGAGTCTTGCTGTGGTTTATCTTGTTACTTTCCCGAGCCCTTCACATATAAACATTCACCATGTTCTTAAGAAAAAGTTTAGTTAAAAAAGTATGGAATTGCAGTTTTTCTCGGCAAATGTTTTCTGAACATATTGTATTGAAAGAAGTTGAGTATAAATTAAATTGGTGAATATTAACCTAACTTTTCGTGCAGAGTATGTTTTTCGCCCTTGGGAATTATTGGTAACTTTATTTCTCAACACGCTGTTGTATATCAAGCATTCGGGACATCAGGCCAAATTGCTTGCTTAGCGAAGTATAGGTAATTGGGCGTTGGAAACAATTGTTTGCCGCTCTGTGGGGCGCGTTGGCAAAGCGTCCGCGGTCGACTGCCCCGCCGCAATCTGGA